CTAGAAATTATCATCGTCCTCTGTGATCGGGGTAAAGTTCTAATCATCCCTCTAGGCCGGGTGTAGACATAATTATTATCGTCTCCCGCGGTCATGTAAAGGTCACTGTTGTCATGCGCGATCGCGGAAAATTGACAATTCCAGGTAGAAATACAACATTCACTCATAATTCCCGGTTAAAAATAATCCACGCATAATTCCCGGATTACCTGCACGGTGGTCACCCTTTTATATGGGTGTCCTGTAAGTAAACAGCCAAACTCTGGTAAATGGTTCTATGGGTATAAAGAGAAAATAAAGAATAACATTTTTTACAAAACCGCTTTGTTAACCAGATATTTGCCATTTTTTTTGCACATTAACATTTTTATCTTTAAGTTTTATTTTTCAACCGATCTTTATGAAACTGGGTATGTATGTTAAGGTAATAGGGAAAATGTTAGAAAAAAAATTCATCTTGACTCATCATAAAATTTCATAATGGCGGCCATTTTAATTTTTTAAACTTAAATTACTAAAAAATGGCTGATTTTATGAAAAGATGACACGAACACTTTTATTTGGCATTTTTAATCCCCTATCAATTGATACCAAGCTTAAAAAGATTGAATAAGGAATAGCTTAAATATTACGATTTTTAGTTGTAAAATGGGGCACCCTAGTTTTTTCTACCCCATATTATAACTCAAAATCGTAATATTTCAGCTATTTCTGATTCAATTTTTCTGAGCTTGGTATCGTTTGATAGGGAATTAAAAATGCCAAATAAAAGTGTTCTTATATTTTTTTTTTTTTTATAAATCAGCCTTTTTTAGTACTGTAATGTTTACAAAAGTAAAATGGCTACCATTATGAAATTGGATGACGAGTCAAGATGATTTTTTTTCTAACATGGGTCAGTATTACCTTAACATAGTACCTAGTTTCATAATATCGGTTGAAAAACTTTAAGGATAAAAATGTTAATGTGAAAAAAACAAAATGGTGAATATCTGGTTAACAAAGCGATTTTGTAAAAAAATGTTATTCTTGATTTTCTCTTTATTTTGACCCATAGAACCATTTCCCGGAGTTTGGCTGTTTACTTAGAGGGCACTCTGTATATTGCAAAGGGGCACTGATATTATTTAGTTGTGCCTAGGGCGCTGACATTGTAAAAAACGGGCCTGTGTACAAGTATGTGAGATGGATGTCCAATTGAAGATGCCCATTAGCGTGATTTATCCGTAATATCCCAACCACTTGAAATCAAGACGCACAGAGGCTCTACTTTAGGTGTATGATCTTATCTATGAGAGCTTACCTCAGTTTATACCGGTTAAATAAATTCTGTAACAACCACAATGGATAAACAGCCTTCTACCAACACTACAAAATTGGTCTTCGGGGTTCAACCACGTCACAGACATAAACTTATAACTAGGAGCTGATGTTCCAGCCTCATTACAGAAAGCCATAATCCGAGCAGGTGTCTTACGATAATCTGCGTTCCCGTAGCCTACACCATAGATCTATTACAACATCTGAATTGTGCGCTATGTTGCTCAGAACTGGGCTCACATTGGTCTGAACATCTAACGGTGAACCGTGCTCCATGCACAATGCACAGCTACCATGAAAACTGACTCATCTTTATTGATACTTGCTGGATTCAAATACAGATTTCCCCATGGTAACTGTCATTTAAGTACGTAGAATTGGTATAGTTTTACATCATCACAAACACCATCATAATATAGTTTACAACCAATTTATTTTGATACAATATCTATACCATAATCTCCCCCGTTTCATGCAGATAACAACCGTGTATATTAGTTAAAAATCAAGCAATTATAGACAGAGGTATCTCTTGTGGTGTCTTTTGTGAGGGCAAACATGATAATGCTGTAAGAAGTATTGTGTAAGAGAGCAACAGTTCAACATTACACAGCTGGATCAAAAACCCAACACAGACCTTGCAATCCACTTGTAGTGATACAGACTGATATCCTAGACTAGCAGCACGAGTAGTGCACAGGCACCCGCTATGATGATGGCTTTCTATGATGAGGCCGAAACATCAGCAAAGACTAAGTTTGTAGTGTTAGCCCTCTTTCATACCAGTGCGGTGCAGGCCCGTGTTGGATCATTCATCCGCGCTGGCCCTTTCACATTAGCTGACCGGTTCCGAGCGTTTCCAGGCTTAATTTTTGTAACGAAGGAAAGATCTTAAACTTCTGTTGAATGTCCGCGGCAATCTGATTTCAATTCTTAACACATCTCTCGCCATGCTTCCATTACTATAACATAACCATGGTATGCTTTCATTGTTTTAGAGAATTCGTCCCTTTAGGGATGATTTTTTTGTAGGTTGCACAATAACACCCAGACCTAAGGGCAAAGTTTTTTTCCTGGCCCCAGAGGAGAAAAATAGTAATTCTGTAGGTAGATTACATTTTGATTATATGCATGTAATCAGCAAACTTAATTTACCCTTATATTATTCAAGTATGGAATGAACCAGACATGTTTAATGAAATATTTTAGTAAAACTTACTTTAGCCTAATCAAGCAAATGGAAAACAAAAACCCACATCACTGGCCTCCAAACATAACTAAATTATAAAATGATACCTTACCAAACTAATCAAGTGCTCGATTCAAATTTCTTCTTCCTTGAGCTAAATGTACATAAGAGCTAATGAAATAAATACTACATCCGATCCAGGCCTGCATTACAAGTTTAGGATAGTTTGTTGTTATTTGCGCCTGGACAGAGGTTTAGGTTCGTCTGGGTGAAACCGCACTAGTGTGAAAGCGCCCATAAGATTCAATAATCAAAACAGATTCATCCAATACAGGACGTGCCTGCACCGCACTGGTGTGAAAGAGGGCATAGTGCAAGTGATAGAGTAAGCCTTACTTAGATTCTAAAATAGCCTTCTAGTTGAAGCACACTTTACCCCCTGAAATAGTTAAACGTCATCACAATCACAGGATTCTTTATGAGTTTGAACTAGCTTCTTGACATACCAACTGTTTCCAGTTGTGTTGTAGGTGGAGAGACCCTTCCTCTAAAACACTTTGTTTGGATTGTAACGTATATATGCGTCTTAAAAGCATAATAAATTTTTTAAAATATACTCCAATTTTGATGAGTTCACGAACCATTGAATCAGAATGGGAAGATAGCCTTGTATTGTTTTTTGTTTTTTAAGTTTAAATAGTGTATTCTGTGTCAATAGGGCCTAAAGTAACTCTTTTCAACATTAAGGCTAATTTTATCGACCAAGGCAAAGCCGGGGTAGAAAAGTGAGCAGGTTTAGAAATAATGATTGTGTATTAAGAGCGCAAAGTACGTATACTGTTGATGCTTGTAGTACACACTTAAGATTTTTCCTACCACGATAGGCCCTAGCTCTCTTATTAACTTTTTATTTGTATTACTTTCTTATAGTAGTCAATAAAGCTGCGTCTCCACCTACCGAACATGTTCATCGAGCAGTGTTCAACGGACATTTTGTATTTCTTCCGAACATTGTTCAATGTTGGTTTGGTGAAGACACCTTTTCAAACATTCTGACCGTCGTGGTGGGAACCGGATATTGCTGTAAAAGTTCGCTCCTAGTCCGAACATTTTAGTTGAAATCACATTCCTCCTCGTGCAGCAAGTAGCATTTTTCATCATTTCTAGTGAAGTTTGGCATTTGCCCGTGTTTTGATTTTTTACATAGTGTTTTGCATTAGTTTTTTTTTATTGATTGACAAATTAGTTTCGGTTGGTTAAAGTTAATTATAAGATTACGGTAATTAGTATCTTGTTTCGAAATAGTTGGCTCAATCAGTGATATAAGTACCTAATTCAAGATCTTCATTACACACCCTTGTAAAATTTGTGAATAAGCAACTCGCTGTCAGTTCTGCATGAAAATGGTCACTGCACTCATTTCTTCTTTAATACAGTTGTCTCTGCCACCAACGAGGAGGTCGACGAGTGGACACGAGCAAATAAGCAACTGCTAAATAACGACGACGCTGTGTAGATGTAATCATCACTACACAAAATCCCCAACTATTAAAAATGTCCGGATCTCTTGTAACAGTGTGTGAGCTACTGAAAACGTCCGTAATTGTGGAGTGTTCGTCCGTTTTTTTATGTTTGTGAACAGTGTTCAGCGGACATGTTCGGTTGGTGGAGACGGGGCCAAACTCCAGCAAATTCTGTTAAACCCTGGAGGTAAAAGCTAGCCATCAGCCCCATATTGATCTCACTTGTTGCAGAATGATAAAAATTTGTTTTAGACTTTTTGCTATGGTATTCGTTCAGATTTGCTAAAAAAGCAATTTTATAACTTAGTAAGTTATACTAAATCACCTAATGGATATTAAGTTTTCACAATAAGTTTTTGCTTATTCCACCCTCATTGATGATAAATTAATTTCTGTAAATAATTGATTTGTATACAAATCCTCATTAAAATTGACAATTTACCTTCAAAGTCAGTTTTTAACACCAATGATACATTCAACAGCCTATCAGAGCAATGTATTTCAATTTATGCTCTGATGACCGTCCTCTCAAATCACCAAGCAAATGTCCAGTTACTACTGTAAAGCCGCGTTTTCCTAGGCGCGGAAGTGGAGAGCGGAGAGAGGAACGCGTAAAGCGGACTCCTATTGTCTTAGGTAATTTAGTGTTACTGTTTTCCTAGAAGCGGAGCGGAAAACCATGTTAATCTCTTTTCCTCTCCATGTTCCTCTCTCCGCTCTCCGTTTCCGCACCTAGGAAAACCCAGCTTAAGCAAGAAACACAATACCTATCAAAAGAACTAATTCTTTTAGTCAACAGATATCTTTTTAAACATTGTTACCTGAAAATCACTTATTACTAATTTAGCTTATCTTGCATTTTTGCTATACACTTTTTTAAGATAGCAACTAATGCAAACTAGACCAAATTTACCAACTCTATTCTTTAAGCTTGATAACACAGTTTTGAAAATAAAAACATAAAGTCCTTTACTTCAAATAATATTATAATTTCAGTCAAGTGGATTTAAATACAAAACTCACTAAAGCCTAAGAAAATCGTAAGGTAACAAGGACGATCAAAAACACAATATAAATTAATTTGTCATTTAATAACCTATCACACGGCATCCAGAGTGCCATACACTTATAAACATTCACTGCACTCACACCGATTCAAAATAAACGTCTTCAACATACATGAATAACATAGAATTATAGTAATAGGTATTTAACGTAATCTAATAATTAAAATATAATAGTTCTTTTAATACAAATTTTTCGTTCCATTTCGATATAGTCCCGTCATCGTTCGTCGCACCGTTCACTTAACACTCGCGTAACTACGATAAAAACTGTAAATAAAACTCTTCCGGTTATTTTGATGCTCTATCGCGCGACGGTTGCGTGTGCACACTATAATTGGTTAAAAGTCTGTTGCGATGGTTGCGGCTGCGGTGGGCTTCGGATCACCAACAGAAGACGGAGAGTTCGCCACCATGCTCTCCGCTGTGTCTCCATGCTGTCACAGCTCGCGCCTTCAACTGCAACAACAAGAAAAACATCAGCAAACCGTAAAACAACAATACTCGTAACCACATCAAATAGATTGAGAAAATAGAACCATGCCATAAATACTAATTCACAGGAGAGGGTGTCACCCCGAATCAAAAGTGATTGATTCATGTTGATAGAAGGTGTCAAGTTTTACATGGACTGTGGATTTTCGGATACAGAAGTAGACGTCCCATCATATAGATCAGCTGTCACTACTTCTTTAAACAAGTACATAGTTGTGTGAGCCAGTCATAGAGTGTGCTAGTGTCTAATCTATCCTAATTTATCTATCTATCTATCTATTAATACCTTAGTTAAGGTATTGAAGAAACATGGACACTTCAGACAGTATCCACAAAGAATCACTTGATCACTCCTCCCCTCTTGAAATGACAGTTATTGTACTATTAGAGATCCAAAAAACCCTTTAGGCCTAGCTTACAACACACTGTCTTTTTATCTCATTATGTTGTTAACACTAGTGTATGTGGTAGTTGTAGATTTTCAATCCCACAACATACACTTGTGAATATTTTCAATATGTACAAGATATACTAGTGAATGCTAAAAGTACATAGTTCAATTTCCCAACGTACAAGATACGTCAGTGAATGTTTTCAACCTCAAAACATACAAGATACGCTAGTGAATGTTTTCAATCTTACTACGTACAAGATACGCTAGTGAATGTTTTCAATCTCAAAACATACAAGATACACTAGTGAATGTTTTCAATCTTACAACGTACAAGATACGCTAGTGAATGTCGGAGTGTGTACTACAGAGCAGTGTGGGTCGGTGAGTATTTTTACATCAATGGTGGACGTAAACACAGTGTACGCGAGCCGAGCTATTCTCAGAGCACCAGCCTTGCCAAACATCTCCTGCTGTTCTCATCTCGCCTGCTTCGTCTCACTTACCCACACAACGTAATAGTATATTTATACCAACTATATTTACTTGGACACTTCTTATTTGACATGTTTCTAGTGAATAATTGGGACTGCCAGTACCAACCTTAATTAAATAGTATAAAATTCTGAGGCTTATGTTTAAGCCAATAATCGATCATTCTTGTCAGATTAAAACATATTTTGTAAACAGGATGGATATGAATATATTCTAAAAGCTTATTTAAGACTAATCCATGGAATAAACTGATACAGTTGCATTTTATATTTTTACATTGTAAAATTGAGAGAGAAAAAGAAGGAAAAGAAACCATTATTATCTTTACATGAATATCAAAATTTAAAACTGAGAACACAAGTATTCATTTTTGAGACAAACAAATTAAAATTTTTTGACTGCCCTGAATTTCAAGCAAGATAGGGAGTTTCAATTGGTTACAAAATCAAGCCAAAATAAATTTACAATGTTTCAAAATATATATTTTAAGGTATTTTAACATATAAGGTAGGCCAATATTATTGGTGGTGTTATTTTAACCAAGCACTTTAAGAATAAATTGAATTAACATCAATACGTGCATTGCATATTAAACATGCAAATATGGAAACTGTGCTTTGGCAAACTATTAAAACCTGTCATATTCTGGTCTGCTGCATAGTTAAAACTCTACATATCATAAGATGTGAAATAGAGGGATCGGAAAGTGCATAACGGGTTTGCTAGGTTATTTCCCCAGGCGAATGTACGAGTGCCTTGATCATACATTAACTAACCTCTCTACATTCAACCATCAACACTGTGTTATCAGACTTATTAATTTTATTTGGTTAGACAATTAAATTGTAAAATTAGTAATTATATATTTGTGTTGGACTTGTGATCTTGATTTTTATTGGATGTGGATGAATGTATATTAGGAAAACGGAGGAGCAACCTCTTAGAATTTTAAATTGCTGTTTGTCACACAACAAAAAACATTTGGAATAGTTATGTTTATTGTAGTATATAGTTTTTTTTCTGTAGAACAATATATTACCAATAGAAAGAAACATGTAAAAAATGTTAAACCCAATTTATTCCCATCAAAGGTAGGAAAAATATCTCTCTCATTATCCGTAATTGGAATAAAAAGTACATAAGGTAAAAGCGATGTAAAAGCGGAAGAAATTGTTGAAGCTTCATTTATAAATAATGCTGCTGTACCAGTCGGTTTATATGAAAATCAACAATATGATACAACAAAGCATAATTGAATCGCTGGGGGCATCCCGGCTCGTATTACAAACTGTTTTAAGGCCAGATTTTCACTTAGCAACAAATAAGGGTTTGTTGTTAAATAAGGGGGATTACTTGGAATTCTTCCAAGATGTATAACCCTAACCAGAGTATGAAATTAAAATATTACCTTGCTAAAAGCAAACAATATCCCGTCTTTAAACACAACATACTCTCAGTACGGTAATAAAATCTCCTTGAATCTAAACATTTATATCAGAACATTTTTTTGTAAGATGTACTGTAGTAGGTATATTTTGGGTGGGATGGACAGTATTTATAAAAAAAACATTTTCTAGTGATTAAAGTGTAAAGACACTATTTTTATTGCAAAAACCTAACATGCAGTTTTACACCTTTTATTCCTTGTCGAGAAAATATAACCTCAAAAAATATAAACAGAAAGTGATCAATTATCAATCATTAAGACGCCACAGAATGTACGAGTGCCTTGATCATACATTAACTAACCTCTCTACATTCACCTAGGTGTGTTTTGAACTTTGTTATTGACTAAGATCATCTGTTTCATTAATCATGATCATGTATTTAAAGCCCAATGATCAGGACCAGCTGGGTCCAGTTTTGAATCATCAAAAAGCTACTTACTTTTTCTCAGGATCGAACAGGTGACCTTTCGTTTATTAGGTTAGCACTAACCACTCGGCTATTCAGGGGCAGGCAAAGAAGAAAAACTCATACAGTTTCAAGTTTTAATAATTAAAACCTACTGCCAAGATTCCTCCTGGATTTATAAAAATAACCAAAGTGTACAAAAATAACCTCATATCCTTTCAAATAAAAAAAATAACCATTGTTAATAGTAATTACTTATTTATGGCAGTACTTAGTAGTGCTGTTGAGGCTTGGTCTACTGGTATTACCTTTCTATCAATCTTTCAGATAGTTATTATTAGGCTATTTACAATACCTGTTGCATTTTCTCGAAATCTAGGCACGGACGTTGGATGGCGGCGGTGTGACGGTGCCTCTTCCGGGGCGACGGCACATAGTGAAACAGCTTAGGCGGGGGGCTTAGCGAGCGGTGGCCGGGGCGGTGGGCGTGGCGAGGCGGCGACGTGCGGAACTGTACAGGAGGCGACATGGTGGCTAGCAGTCCCTGGACTTCCTCATCACTACTGCTAGACAGTTCACATCTAGGCAGGGATAGTGACGACACCACAGTACGTCTGCTGGGCTCACTGGATACTTCCGGTGTCACCTACAAACAATTCAATCTTCAAGTACAAGTTTGTACATTTGAATGACGTCAAAGTAGCATTAGTAGGACATTTTAACAGGCGGGGCAAACCGTTATCTTGTACCAGGGATCGGGTAAAGCCATCCCCTTTTTTGTTTCTGAGTCTATTTCGTTACATACTTCATTTGTTTTATACATACACCATACAGATAATTTTAGACTGTGATATCTCAACACTAGAAAGCTTTATCAGGGTACTTATCAGTTCCGCGAAAACCTTAAAACGGTTTTAAAATAGGGATAGGCCGATTTCTGTCTTCAATTTTACAATGATTTCTAAACCAATGGTAGCAAAGATATTTGTCGATTCTTGGTACTGGTAACTTTCGATTGGTGAAACCATGATCATCTTTTAAACCAAATTCAGACCAAAGTAGCTTGACTTTTGTACAAAATATAGTCCAATTTTACAAGCCACACTATGATTTTTTTTACGAAAAATAGATAAATCCTTTAACAGAAATCAAATCATAGGCCACGCCATAGAAAAATTATTGGGGGAAAAATGGATGAGTAATACGCAAGATTATTATCCAAGCTAAAACGTAACTTAAAGGATTTTGTTGAAAGTCAGACAGCTCTGGAATTTTCATAATTGGTTGATTACCGCTGAACACTTAAAGCCTCTCCCAACATTGATCCCACCCTCGTGTCACAAAATTAATCGCCCCTCAGTTTTCCCTATCTGGGATCTGACAACCCTCTCCTCATTTACTGATACAATTGCTATGACTTTGATTGTAAGCGATTCAGTTGTAGTGGGGCTGCAATAGGTAGCCAAAGTTTTAACAGGTCAATTGAATTGAATTTTTACTGGCCAATATTAACTACTGCAGGATGTAAGTGTCCAAGGATTACAATGTACATACAGTAGGGTATGATATTGACTGCAGGGCTTAATTTAAAATCACAATGCACGGTTTTCAGTTAAAATAAAAATCAAATAAAAAATAAAGTCTTCATACACTTAGGTCACTTCTCTTGGACTCTACAATATCAAAAAATATGTAACCATTTTGAGTACGGTTGAGTATGTACGAGTATTTAAAGTCATTTAGTAGGCCTACTAGAAACAGACAAGACTCTAACTCTAATTAATTGTTCAATAGAAAATATAATACTAAATATACTAAATTTGTTGGCTTCGATATTGACAGTAAATAATGGGATGAAAAATTAAATTTATTCTATCCCGGATAAGAGAAAGGTTTTGTTAGTCAACAGTTATTTTTCAAGGCCTTATCATATCTTCTAATTTTATGGTGTTCAACTTGGAACTGCTGTCAACATGTGTATTCTTTGCAATGCTTTGACATATTAGGCTAAATTTAATTCTGGTGCTCATAGAGTATATAAATCATGGAGACACATCCTAAAATTAGGATAAAATTTCCCAATCTAGTATTGCTATTTTATTAAAGTCCTTATTTTGCAGACCTAGTATTATTAACAAATATTTAAATAACATCAATTATTATTATTACCTATCTAAGGTTACAACATGTAAAGTTTGATATGATTTTTTAGTATATATTTTAAGTATAAAATAGAAGTATCTCACTGAATTTTATAAAAGATGGTCACTCTAATAATATTACCTTTGATTGTATATTTAATACAATACAAATCTGTCCATCCACAAACGAAGAAAAGCTTTCAATCTATAAATAGATGTACAAATGTAAGTGTAAACCATTTTGAATGCTTTCTATACGTTACAGAATATTCCCTCTTCTAAGTCAGGGTATATGATAATACAAATGTAAACACGATAAAAACTTGGTTGCGTAATTCACTGATACTTTATCGGCTCACAGTTTGTCACAGGGAGCCAATAGTTCAGCGTTATACTATCACAATTAATATGCACAGGTGCACACATTATAACAAAACAATTGCTGTTTAAAAGACTACACTTCAAAACAATGTTTTATGAAGCTTTCATGATTCCAGAATGTTCCCACTTCTGCACAATTCCAAAGTGTTTGAGGGGATTTACCAAACAACTATGCAAATTTCCCAATAGTTATTATTGCAGCTGGCACTGTAAGACATAGACCTGGAACCGATTTACTTTTTCATTTTGTTGTCCCCAGTAGAGGCCAAAACACAATTTGTTCAAATTTGTATACATGTATCTTTGAATATGATAAATTTAGTAATTTTGTGAACGTTTAGACCGAGATAAACTTGAATGAGTTTGCGAACCAGCAAGATTGGGTCATGGGAACGAGGAGAAAATTGGTTTTTCCTGATTTTCACCCTTAAAACAAAGAAATACGGAAAATAAATAAAATATAGGTCTAATAACAATTAAAACATATATTTACGCTTATACTGTTAACTCACAAGACGGTAAATATACATAAATGAAACATTCGCCTATTGGTTCTAAAGACGATTGGAGTGTCCAATCGAAATCGATCACCATCTTTACCATATTATATGTTTTAAGTTTTATTAAATGTATCTTTTATTTACTTTCCGTAAATTTAATAACACGTTCAATGCTGATCAAGAAGTTAGTTAACATAGAAACGACCAATATCTATTAATTCATTGTGTGGCGATTTAAAAAACGATTTGTATATTGAACCATTGTTATATGTGATAAAAAATTTTAGAGAAAATTAAAAAAAAAACAAGTTATTCCTATGCCGGAAAATGAAACTGTTATCGTTTGCTTGTTTATAGATATATTTTGATCATGAACATAGCTTTTTACCTCTCGCTTATCATCAGATTTATGTATACAGCATGAAGCAAGAAAACATGAAATTAACCTCTTCCTAAATCAATTCTGCACTGACTTGAATTATGAAACCTCCTGAGTAATAAAACCAAAATATACAAGGACAGCAGGAGGAAGGTAGGGGGGATGTAATATATTAAGTATGTTGAGTAAAGGGTATGTAATCTTGAAATAATTTCACCCCCCCCCCTCTCACATCTGCCTACCACTCCCTTAAGTGACTCTCGCTTCAAATTGTAATTAACACACTAAGTCAATTACACACTAAGTCCTCATAATACTACAACAATGGCTTACAACATAAATGTTGTCTTAGAAGATGAGGTATCAAAATAGATTTCAGTTGTTATGGATTGTTCTATCTACTTCTTAAATATTAGGATGAAAAACACTTTTTCTGTTCGGTGTTACATTGTAAATTTCTATTTTTGGTCAAAATCAATTAAACAGCACATTGATTCTACTCATAAAATCATTTCACATTTATTCTATTAACAGGAGATGTAGATTTGTAGAATCACACTGTGAACCAAAACTATAACATTTCATAAATAAATAAATAGTCAGTTTCACCATTGACTTTTGCATACTGAAGTAAAGATATCCATCCCATACTATATATGGAATTAATAAGAGTACGATTGAGTATTACTAAAAGCTGTTTACTTATAACTTGATAATCTGATGATTAATATAAGTACGACTAAAAGCTGTTTACATATAACTTGATAATCTGGAATGATTAATATGAGTATGTGTTAGAGTGTATATGTCTTGAATTTCATATGGATAGTTTTTAACAGCTCAAAGATACATTACTGATGAGATACCACATTGAAGGAGAGGAAAGAGGGGGGGGGGGGGGAGATGAGAGAGAGAAGACTCAATAGAGAGAAGAACAATAAGAATCAGCTACACCAGAGACTAGACTTGTTTCAAATCAGCCATGGAAAAAACATGAGAGCTGAAATCATCAACTCTTTTGTTTTTACCTCCAGTTGTTTCAACACAATGTTTCAATTTAATTATACTGTATTTTATTTCATCCATCCATTGAGGATATTTCACATACTCATTTAAAAAACAGATAGCCTAAAGAGAACAGATTTTTTTCATCTAAGGTAAAAAAATCCTCAGAAATGAAATTTTACCTCTACCGACAGTAACCTCTGTACTGGTCTTATAATACTCGTATAAAGTATTTTATATTATAAGATTAATTGACTGCTGTTGTTAATGGTATATTACCTCATATTATAAACTAGATCCTACGTCTTATGACGTTTTATAAAAGGCTACTGCCTCTTGAAAAACAGAAAATTCACTGACCTGAAATACAAGGTTTTAAAAATCATATATACAAGGTTTTTTGAAATACAAGGTTTGAATACTACTTTAATTTCATCAAACCTAGTGGTGTTTTAAAACTCATGCAAAAGTGGAGGGAAAATGTTGTGGTGTTATTAATTAAGCCTGTTTAGTAATTATTTGCTTACTTCTCTATATTACCGGTGGGGAGTCAAGTCAAGTTAATTATTTATTTTCACATAAGTGTTTAAAACCGAACCAGCATAGCTGGGTAAAAAGTTAAAATTGTCAAATTCAATAATTACAACACAACTTAAAACTAGATAAGAATGGTTTACAATAGAATTTCTGGTACTTTGTTAGTAGGCGTGGTGGGTATAATAGCAATGTACCGAATTTCAAACAGGTCAAAAATTATCATTAACACAGTGTCAAGCAATGGGGACTCTTCTTCGACGGTTTCAAACTGGCTCGAAGAAAGTTCCTCACTCTCCTTGGCGAGCAACGATTTATCAATATTTGATCAAATTTTGTTCTTTGGTGTATTAAGTCACAGTTATTTATTTTTGTTGTTTTTGAGTCTCATGCTATTTATTACTTGTTAAGTTTCATGATATTAATTACTTGTTGATTATGTTATCTATTGATTTTACATTGTTATTTATTTGTTATAGGCTATATCTGTTTTGTTAATTCTTTTTAAATGGTTCTGTCGTTGGTAGGTATAAATAAGTAAGTACCTGTGACCACTTCCGTTTCTCTGGGACGGTGCTGGCGGAGCGGCTCCGGAGGGCTGCGTCTGCCGCATGGTCGTGACCGTGGGAACTGTTGATAACTTCTAACTCCTCCTCAGAGCTATGGTGGTCTCCTTCCCCTTCCCCCGAGTCACTGGGCAGCGCTGAGTCCAGGAAGTAAGGAGAAGCAGGAGTCACACTGCTCACACTAGCGCCTATCACACTGCCCGCCTCACTGTCCATGCCTGAAACACAAACAATTTGTTAGAAACAACACTAAAACATGTCTTAAATACCAAACTCAGAAATACAACAGGCTGCTAGGGAACAAGCTGATCAGTAACACAGCTGTCATCTCATTCATTTAACTCATACTTCACTCATAGTAAGAACTACCCTGGTGTGTCAGCATCGTAATCTCAGAAGCCCAACATTGAAATATGGCCTGAATAGAAGTACCAAACTCAACATTGAAATATGATCTGAATAGAGGTGCCAACCTCAACCTTTAAATATGCCCCTAATGACTACTACAACATTGAAATATACAGTGTATTAACTATCAACCTCAACATTAAAATATGCCTCGATTAACTTCCAACCTCAATATTAAAATATGCTATGAATATCTTTCAACTTCAACATTGAAATATGTCCTTAATAAAAGTAGCAAACACGGAAACAAAAGTCGAAACTTGTGTTGATAAGTTTATAAATAAATACTGCTTCCTTTTATATTACACAAGAAAATTGTAAACTGGGAAAGAATTCTCAATAACTATTTAAGTTACTTGACTGCAATTGAATTTAAAACACAGGTTCAATAGTAACTAGCAAATAATACAGTGTGCGGAACTTCATGTTAACAAGTTAAATTAAAATTACAGACATTAAATTAAAACTCTGTTAAAATAATTATATTTTTTTGCGGTAAGATTAACCTTAGCTTTTGAGAAAATAATTTTTTTATATATATAGGGTGTTTCACAGGAACCCTGACAAACTTTGGAAAATGATTCCTTGAATAAAAACTAGAAAAAAATGTTCTAGGCCTATAAGCATAGTTTCCAAACTTACTCGTATTCTATTTACTGTACAAAGAAAAATAGGTTTTTTTAGGTTTTCATTCAGTGTATCTTATTTTGACCTATGGATTAAAAAATTGACAAGATTTTTTTTTAAATAAAAATGCATTGCTAGACAGAATATTAAATTTCAAAGAGACTTCATTACTATATTTTTGTTTTTGACAACTCTTTATATTGAACCATTTAAGCTTTTGGCTTGCAGCTTTACCAAAAGTTGAAGAATTGAATGGAGAACAAGGAATGAATTATGTATACTATGGAGGTTATTTATGTCAAAACCTAAAATATTTAAAATTTAATATTGAATGCAATTTTTATCAAAATATCTTGTCAATTTTTCAATCTAGAGCTCAAAATATTTAACAGATACACTGAAAACCTTAAACAACTATTTTTGTGTATGAATAGAATACGAGTGAGTTCAGAAACTATGCTTATAGGATATTTTTTCTAGTTTATATCCAAAGTTTATCAGGATTCGTGTGAAATACCCTGTTATTTAAAATCAAAGTTAATTAATTATTTTTGATGCAAATGGATTTTCCTGGTGTAAATAATTTCAAGTATAAATACTTTTAATACTTTACAATGAAATGGTGACCATACAAAGTAGGTATTTTAAGCCAAGTATGAATGGAGATAATTGCTCTAACAACATTTATATGTGGCAGACTCTCAGACGGTGCACACAGAGCAAGGAGAAGTAATAGGTTTCAAAATGCCTGATCACAGATGCATCTAAGGCTTTCTAACCAAACACAGTCATAGATAAATGTTATCATTTGGACAGTTTGAAGAGTATTTTTTAAAGATAATTCTAGTTCAGCATTATCTTAGGCTATTTACATTTTTTTCTTTTTTGCCAAAAACCAATTTTTTATTTGTATCTGACTCTATCTACATTTTCAAAGATGTTTTGAAATGTAACCCCTCTTCCAGAAACACAACACAATGCAAAGAAAAATTATAACAAAGAAAGATTGTATATGATTGGTCAAAGAAAATGAAAGATATTTAATCAAATACCCCATATTTCAGCAAACTTTTGCAGACATAGCGAATCCGATAACAAATAAATTAAGTAGTTGGAACCAGCCCAAGTAAGCTGGGCTCCAATACAATTATAAATAACCTGGTGATCTTTATTCTAGTAATGCCAGATGTGCGATCAACATTCTAATCCTAATCACTTTTTTATGGTGGGAGTGTTTAAATTTTCAATTGATTGATTATTTAGTAATTAAATGTAATTTATCACAATTTAAAGGTCAAATTCTTATACTTCATTTCCCTGATATAATCATTACACCTTTTCAAGTAAGGTGGCATAGGCTTTGAGGGCTTATGCAATGATTTACTAATATCCAGTTTATCAGATATTTTATTGTGATCGCAACTAAAAAGTCAGTGATGAATCATGAATATCTATGACTATCTTCAGTACCTATTACTTTGAGGAAATACTTCCTTTTGCAAATAAATAGGTGGGATGGAATATGTGATTTTAAATTTTAAAGGTTAATTTAAATTTATTAGTTATCATGGTGCTCACAAGCTCAATTAATGTTAATGCAGATTATATTAAGATGTTTAACCGATTTATGTCCAAATTGCAGGATTTTTACAAAAATGTTATCACAGCAACAAAACTCGCACAAATGGCTTTTGGAGACCATGAATTGAAAAAATACAGAGGTCTTAAACTAAGTTATTACTATGAAAACTGCAATCATCACTTCTTCCCTATAAGGAAATTTACAAAACATCTTTCGTGATTTGTTTAGCGTTTTTATGATCAAAAATGTATCAAAAAAAGTTTTAAGAACTAATATTTTATTATTTACACCACCAATTGATGAGATGGGGGCATAATGAGTGCTGTTAAGAATAAGTGTAAAAATATAATATGAACTAACATTTAGTTAGTCAACAAGAGAATGTTTTCTTAACAATATAAAAAAATTAACAAACAAATGCCAAAATGTGAAATAAATAAGTGGCATGCACAAGCACTAAACTGTTTCTGTTAACCTAAGCACTACCAAAAAATATTTTGTACGATCAAATCCAGCGAAGACTTGGGTACATCACACTATAACACTATACAATCACTGTATCTCAGTACACATTCACTGGTTGGTAGACCAAAGTGTATGAGTCATCCAGTGTTGCCATATCGACTGCAACTAAAGCGAAACACTTTTGAATGGTAAACTGCAACATCATGCAAATCAGTCTTCAGTTCTTCACCACTCTCTCAAAAATGATAGAATTATAAGAAAAATAACGGAACATAGCCTATATGAAGTTTAATTCCCTTGTTTATAAGTCTGTTTATAAAGGAGTACTTAAACAAATTTCAAGGATGGTAATTGTTCTAAATTGAGTTTATATAAAAAAATACAACAAATCAACAATTTAATATAGGCCTAAAGTTTTGTCTGTAGTGACTTGTTGCTTTTTCTTATGGTTGTATTGTCTTTTCTGGAATTAATGTATTATTTTTTATCAAGATGACTTTATACTCTACATGTGCAAATATCTTGTTCTAGTTTTGTTTTTGTTAGTTATTATTTATTTTGAGATGACATTCACATTTCATGTGTTACAAATGTGTGATTGTTCCGTTATCATGAAATGGCCTGTATATTTTCTCAGCACTCTTATTTCCCAAACCCAGCAATAAGGGTTTTCGATCATTTCTTTGGTCAGCGCCCAAGTTTCTGGGATATTATGGTATGATATGAATCCAATTTGGTATCTACTCACACCCTGCAGCTTATTGGACAGATTTCTACAGACCTACTACACCGGAAATGCTTGGCACACACATTGCTTGACACAAGTGTCGCCCAGTTAACATGTTATTTTATGCCCTAAATCGGTAAAAGAAGAAGCAATATAGAATAGACCAGTTATGAAAAAAGTTTGTTATAAAACGGGTTACCTAATTAAATTCTTTAAAATTGTCATTTTCAATTCCCTAAATAGAAACAAATATACCTACGATGCTTGCAAGTACAAAATACTAAAGCATTTCTTTTATTAAATTTGCATTTGTTTAAACAATTTTTATCTGTACAAACTTTTAATTCAATCAGACAAAAAATATAGAAGCAAGCTATTCAACTTTATTTGCAGTTTCATTAGCCAATTGATTTCGAAGGTAATTGCTACAATTTGGTACTCTTTACATTATAAAATCTGGAAGAAATTAAATTTTTGTAAGAAAAAATTTGGAATGTTTTCAAATATTTAATCCAAACAGATTTTCTATGAATTCTATATTTAACCACAAAACAAATTCACCAGTCACCTCATTATCAATATCAAACATTAAAACACAAGAACAAACACAAACCTCTGCTTCAAGTCGTGTTTTAATATTGATAATGCACTTATAAGTCTGCTCTTTGCCCAAGTAGAATGTTTAAACAAATCTCACATCAAAGCAAAGTGGCACAAGTTAAGCTTTTCAATTCACATAGGTTGCTGAAAATGTAAATATAATCTTCCTGCATTCCCAGTAGAGTATAAACCAAACAATCAATGTTACTAGCTTGAACCAATATGTAAAGGTACGTATATTTTTGCATTCATAATTTAAAGTTGAAATTCACAAATTATTATTAACAATTAGTTTAATAAGTTTAATGTTCTTCCTACAAATTTAAATTTGCCGTCCATTAACAATCACAATATTAAATAAATACCTTGATGGATAGTTTTTTGTAAAAATCGCCAAATGAATTTTTGACTACAAATGCGCACAAACTCATAAACAGTTGTTTTTAAACTATGGCAGTAAATCAGTCAAGCAGGGCTTCACCACTTTTTGGTTAATAGTAAAAAAATAATATTATTTCACACATCACCGAAAAGTTTAGAAAAGTTCCTTGACAAATCAAAATTTTATTTAATAGTAAATTAAAAAAAAAAAATTTAAGTTCTCTGATTCGATTGTGAGCGAGATCGATTTGGAGAGATCAAGATGAATCTCGGATGACAGGAGAAGATTCGAACCGCCATTACAAAAAACGCTCAAAAGAGACGAATGCAAAAAAAGAAGTTTGTAATCGACACAAATTAAAAATCATTTTTTCGTAATATTTAATTTAATTATGGTTTAGCCTATTGAAAATATTATTAACTCAAGG